GCTTTTTAAATCTGATAGATGAGCTGGTGTAAGGCTGCTCAGTCTCACAAAGTTGTGACAATCAATATGTTGTATGTATTACATATATTATATAGGCCTATAAACATATATTTCAACCTTTACACTGTAGTGCTAAAAGCCTAGTCTATGACAGATTTAAGATTACCAGGATTGTTTTACATACATAATTTATTTTATATTAATCCAACACCAATTCATCTGTGGTAGATCTGAGGTATTTGATCAGTTTACTCTTAGTCTCTACACACTATATGGTTAGTTTACAGAAACTTCCAGCTCAATTTACAAATCATTTATATTCTGAAGCGTTCAGACACCTTCAGCAGTGCTGCTAATAAATGGCAAAGGAAGAACATTTGTTGGGGAATTTTGTCTCTTAAACACGATTAAACTGAAAAGATCTGAGGTCCTCTGGTAGAAGTAGATTCAGGCGGCGGATTTGATATTGATGATTAAGACAACTGTATCTCGCAGAGTACATTGAGAGGGCAATGTGATCCCAAATGGCAGCTGTATGTGTGGACATGCATTTTATGTGATTTTGATTTCCTATCAGTCCACCATCCTGGCCATTTGTTTGATGTTGTCTGCATTAGTTAGTTATAATTCAAAGTATTTCACAGTCGGGTCTTACACTCCAGTCTGTCACTTTATGAAAGCAGCACGTTGCCCTCAGCCTGTTCTCAAACCAGTTGTGCCATCGAGAGACCAAGCACTGGTTCTTGATGCACTTACAGGTGTCCTGTTCAAACCACAGGTGACAACTCAACCTTACACTCTAAGTGTCAGTGAGATTTTACAGAATAGAGAATCTAGGACACTGCAGGTGCTTCTAAAGCATCAGAGCTGTGTAGCCGCTAACTCCCTTTTGGCCCTGCAGGTGTGTCTGAATAGGGATTCAATGTATGACCTGGCAGAGGGCATAATAACATGACAAAACTATTATTCATTATGGCAGAGGGAAAAAAATAAAACTCAGTTCAGACATAACAGATGGTTTAAAAAGAGTTTAAAAAGAGGCTGTGAATACATTTACATTTAAAGAGGCAACTTTACAGTAGCACACAACCTCAATTTGAAAACTAATTTTATATGTTCATAACAATTAATATTTCAGTCCCATTACATGAGCTAATAGCACAAAAGAATCCAAATATTAAAAAAAATAAACATATTAAAACTATACATTCTATATAGTATATTTTAATTTCTGTCATAACACTATTACACATACTTTCTATCAAATTACTAATGCTATAAAGAATATGCAAAAAACAATGTTGGAATCAGAAATGTAAGCAAGGCTCATTCTTGTAACAAAAATAATTATTTTCATACTTTTCATCCCAAGGATAAGGTCGCTGGAAAATGATAACATTTTCTAACAAACTATCTTAATTAGATTTGCTCAAAAATTTACAAATAATTGTGTCTTGTAATAATACATAAACTATTTTCTATGACACAGAGCTTCTTCACGGATGAAGAGATGAGCATCTTGAAGAAGTTCAAACTCTATGTAGAGGACAACTGGAACAAATGCGACATGGTTGCCATCTCACTTTTTGTTGTTGGGGTTTCATGCAGGTAATTCACATAAAATTACATTTATGACAAAATATACACCCAACAGCGTGGAGGCTCTTGATTTGATGGCCGAGGCTAGAGCGTTAAAATAAAGGAGTGAGCGAATGAATGAAATAAAGAAGGGGTAGAATTGAATCAACTGCACAGTAAGTAATGTTGATTATTTGTTGTTTATTTTGCAGAATGGCGGATAACACCTATGAGGCAGGAAGAACAGTTCTGGCGATAGACTTCATGGTATTCACTCTACGTCTGATCCACATCTTTGCCATTCATAAGCAGCTGGGACCCAAAATCATCATTGTGGAAAGAATGGTGACCAAATGAAACACTACTATCTAAACATTTGAAATATGAAAATCTTAAGCGATGTACTTGGTCATAGACCATAGATCATAACTTGGCCTGTTAAGAAGACATAAAGACGAGTTTTCCTTTACAGATGAAGGATGTTTTCTTCTTCCTCTTCTTCCTGAGTGTGTGGCTCATTGCGTACGGTGTTGCCACCCAGGCTCTTCTCCACCCCAATGACCCAAGGATTGACTGGGTGTTTCGCAGAGCCTTGTACCGCCCCTACCTGCACATTTTTGGTCAGATCCCCTTAGAGGAAATTGATGGTAAATTACAGTAGATGCATATAAGTGTAAAGAAAGTGTGACCTTTAAATGTGTGTTTATCCATGAAAAAAATTTCAGTTTATTGTCATGTTTAATGTTTTATTTTGATCATTCATGCATATCCATCAGAGATGGCTTTCTGTTGGCCTGAATGTGATGTTTCATAATCGAATTTTCTTGTTCTTTCATTAAACGGAGCACAGCTGCTCGCATGCCTGAAATTAACTGCACCAACGACTCAAATGAGATTAGCCTGGGCCTACGGCCGCCATGTCCTAACATCTATGCCAACTGGCTGGTCATCCTGCTGCTGGTTATCTTCCTTCTTGTCACCAATGTCCTGCTGCTAAACCTGCTCATTGCCATGTTCAGGTCAGGGGCTGGAAATTATAGCAACCATGTCTATCTGACAAGATGAGTTGAACTACTGTAGTGGTTTTCTTTGTACTTTATCTTTTTTTTTTCTTTCTTTTTTCCCCCATTTGCAGCTACACCTTCCAGGTAGTGCAGGGTAACACGGATATCTTCTGGAAGTTCCAGAGATACAACCTGATTGTGGAATACCACAGCCGTCCAGCACTGGCCCCACCCTTCATCATCATCAGCCATCTCTCTCAGCTCCTCCTCAGCCTGGTCAAACAGCCTGAGTCAAAGCAGGAACATCTTGGTATGAAGGTTTTATGTGCATATTTCAGCCCATTTACATTAGGAGCTATTAAGCTTCTGCTTTATTTCAGATATTAAAATAGTTCCTTGTGGATTATCAGGCTAAATTAAAATTAAATGCAATACTGAATAACACACTGTGTGCTTATCTCTGTCCTTCACCTGCTCTATCCATGGAAATTGCCTCCTAGTTAATTGGTTTTTGGACTACCTCCTTGTGTGTGTGTGTGTGTGTGTGTGTGTGTGTGTGTGTGTGTGTGTGTGTGTGTGTGTGTGTGTGTGTGTGTGTGTGTGTGTGTGTGTGTGTTTTGCCAGAGAGAGAGCTGCCGGCAGGGTTGGACCAGAGGCTGATAACATGGGAGACGGTGCAGAAAGAGAACTACCTGGCCAAACTGGAACGCCAGCATTGGGAGAGCAGTGAAGAGAGACTCAAGAGTACCTCCTCCAAGTAATTGTTATTTTGCAATTTTGAAGAAATGTGCATATTATGAGAAGATATAATCTGCAAACAAGCTCTGATAACCTCACTGGACACTGAGCAGCACCAATGTGCAGCTTGTATTAAAGCTCTACAGCCCCCCTAGTAGTACAAAAATGATTAATGTAGCATTGTATCTGGTTTTAACACATTTTTGTTGTGACCAAGGGTTCAGAGCTTGCTGAGGATTGTCGGTGGGTTCAAGGACCAAGAGAAGCGACTGGTGTCCACGGAGGCTCAGGTAAACCTAGAAAAGTGACCTCAACACCTCCATCTGACACATAATCAGTTTGTATTTTTCGCAGCCAATTTCACATAAAACTCATCTCGTCTCTAGGTCAGGTATTGTGGAGAGGTGTTGTCCTGGATGGCAGAGTGCTTCGCTCAAAGCACACTCAAGTGTGGGAAAGAAGCTCCAAGAGCTCCAAGTGAGACAAAAATCAGAAACAGGAAAGACTCCTAATTGAGTCACAATAGACAGAAAATACTGTTCTATTCTAACACAGTAGCATACTGTGAATATACTCTCACACAACTCTGTGTATTTTGAATTTAATATTAATCAGGCATGAAATTTCAGTGTCTCTAACAGGCAGCCAGCCAACCAGCACCAATGACGGGACTCAAAGTCAACCAGAGAAAGAAGTCAAACAAGAAGGGGGGGCAGCCAAACCAGGATCAGGATCAGGATCAGGATCAGGTCACCCAGGATATGGAGCTAACAAAAAATTCCTTACATTGATGAATGAAAGCTAACTAGTAGCACCCAGACAGCTAATGATACTTTATTCAAGATATTTAGAATATTATATAATATTAATATAAGTACGATGATGGTGTAATTGGGGGGAAGGGGACATTGATTTGGTTTGGACTTTAATTTAATAAAATGATGTTGGTGTATTTCATTCTTTCTGCAAATTAAGCTTTCACATTTTAAAAGAGTTACTAAACCATAATGATCTAAAAGAATTATTGCTCAGCATTCAGGACACATTATTAAAACTTATAAAGCTACCTGTTGTTTCAAGCATGTTTTCAAGAGTGTTCTAACTGTTCCTTTCTTATTGGAAATATATGTTCCTTCAGTGCCGCAAAAGGTACATATTGTCAAACGAGTCACAAATGGATGGTGTAACAGTTTGGTTCCTTAGTTTAAATGAAAATGAATACAGAAATAAAACTACATATTGTTTTAATGTATGGTCAAAGTCAGTATAAGACATGAAATGTCAGACATTACAGTGGCTCTGACCTTAGCTTTAACTTACGGCTATTTTCATCAGTATCATATAATTAACTGAATGGGGGTATTCAAAAAATACCCCCATTCAGTTAATAACATTAAGAGTGATCATTGTTTACACCAGGGATCTCAGACCGCCGGTTCAGGGGCAATTTCTGGCCCTACACCCCCCTCCCTCCAGCCCAGAAATATATTTTTTGGTTATTTCACATGAATTTAATCTATATTTTCTTATACCATTAAAAATAAAAACACTATTCTATTTTTAAGGTCAAAGGAGCCCACCAATGGACACAAACAGTTGATAAAAAGAAAGCAGGTTTCAGGTATTCATTTGGCTGTGAACAACAAAGATGATTTAAAATGAGAACAAGTGTATACAAACTGTTGTTTGTATGTTTTATTTTTTATATGATGTTAGTAAAGTCAATATTTTCAGAATATTACTACCAGCTACCACTACAGTTTGAGTTTGAGACCCCTGGTTTACAGTCAAATTACTTTGAAAGGCATCACAATGTTACAAATGTAGGAACAAGACTAAAACTAAAAATGCAATATATTCATTACATCAAGTAAAGGCTTAACAGGCAGCATGTGGTTTTAAAGTAAAGACACTGATCCATGATTTTGGATTTACGTCTACTCATTTGATATATTTTTCTATTTTTCTCACATTAGGTAGGAACTTGTGTGAACGACATCGGAAATTCAATCAAAAGCAAAATGACCAACTTACTGACAAATCTGTACATCTGTACAGTATTATGCTGTTGTGCGGTTCTATTCTGCTGCTTATATCACAGTGATGCCCTAAGAACAGTAGTCAAAAGTAGTGAAGCATGAAATGCTGAATTTGGAAAGCACATGAATGTGAGTTTTGCTGTTCCTATTCCTCACAATGAGATTACTTTAAAAGTACCCTCTGGGGTTCTGGTATAAACCAAATGTTATGTTTACAGTTTCGGTTCTGTTTCTCATCAGAATTCACTGTATGTACGTTTAAATACAGTATCTGCCTCAAGGCAGACTCTTGAAACTTGCATTGTTTCCAAATATCCATAGGCTACCAACATCAGCTAGTAGTTTTCTTCTCCACTTTTTTGCTGTAAGTTGCTAAGTAGCTTACTGCCATGTCTTAATACCATGGAACCAAGTGGCATCATGTGCTGTAGCTCTCCTTTTGTGTGGACATGGCCAGACTTGTTTCTTCGCTGCTGCTTCCTCTTCTCCAGCTTACATGATACCTTTTCTGTCTCTTGTTTCACCTATAGATATATAAAGAGAGATACTTTGTTCCAAGAGATTGCACCCCTTTCATTCCAATGAAAGTTGTTCAGTTCAGTTCACTTGCACATCCTTGTGTGGCTTCCTGAAGTTTTATTTTTGTTGGACAAAGATCAAATTGTGATCATAAGGAGTCATTTCAGTGCCTGTAGCATGTGTGTTTTACAGCCATTTCCTTTATATGATTTGGTATCGGAAAATGTCTTTTTGGACCCAATTTGACAATTCAAACTGCGGCCACTACAAGAAAATTGCCACACAGCCCGGTGCTGTTCCTTTGGGCTTAATTTCTGTTCTGATCTCCTCTAATCTAATCTTTTGCAGATGTTGAGAATGTTTATCACGTTACCCACATGTCCCTATGCACACATGTGGATTCTTGTGCATGTGCTAATAGAGGATAAGGTAAAAACTACAATAATCTGCTCATTAAAAACATTGTCCCATAGTGCCACACATTTTTAACATTCGGTGCTGTCTCCAACAAATCATATTAATATATAGTAATATTCAGTCGGAAGACAGCAAGTGCATAACTTAAAGTGGTGATGTTGAGCTGATTAAATATTACTGACCATTGAACTGAAGAGGCTTGCTGAATGTTGGTACCATGTGGGTGACTACATACATTTTAAAATGAATCAAAAATTGTACTGTATATATTTATGTAAAACAAAAATCACATTGACAATTAAAAGTTAGCAAACAAATAAATACTAACATACTTGCAGCATCCGAATTTTAAATGGTTTTGAACCTCCTCCTGTCCATCAATCGAAATGAACTCGTATTTAAACACTGAGAGATGTACTGTACTGACATCTCGGCATGGTGATGATCGCGCAGATATGAGTCTGACTTTAGTCCCTCGACACTGAGGCCTCGGGTCCTCTAGGCTGCACTGTCGGCCCCTCACGGTGATGCATATTGTCAAAACGTGGTGTCACCTCACAGCGGATAAGTAGAGTATCATCTTTAACAAAGGCTCTCTGACTCAGCTGATGCAGGTGCATAAAGGTGACGTAGCCGAATCCTTTGGGGTTGCGCTGGATGATGGGCTTCTGGAAGGCTTGCAGGTCTGGTTTAGTCTCCATCACCTCTGTGTGGTGCTGACCCTCGGGGCCTTGGTCTAGGATGGCAAGGCGAATAGTGCCCTGGAACGGCCAAGTCAGCTGCCCATCAAAAGCTCCTTGCATGGTGTGGACAAAGAGGGAGATATAGTTGGAGCAGCGCGGCGCGTTGGGGGTCTGCAGGTGTAAGCGCAGGCACAGCCTGTAGCCTGGACGGCCTGTGTAGAAGCCGGGGCTGTGCTCAACCACTGGCAGGCCTGCTTCTTGGCTCCGCAGGTGGCCAGAGAAACCTTTGAGGCGCCAGACAAAGATACCGTGACACTGCTGACACTCCAGCTCCTTCACTGTCTCCTCCAGAATGGACACTCTACCCCTGAGCTCTGCAAGCTGGCCAGCCTGTGGATGAGACGGGACAGTAGTTTCAAATGACAAAGGCTTACACTGTGTCTACACAGGAGGTGCAGCGTGAGCAGCAAGTTAGCAAAGCAACCACAGCTTCAGCCCAATACACAACCACTGTAGTAACATGTTTAAAATGGAGGAAAAGGCCTGACAGACTGAGAGACGAGTTACTGAAAAATGCAACTGAAACGCTTGCTGTGTCGACTGTAATGAAAAAATCTAAAATGTCTGTGCTCACACAAAGGACAAGAACTTGAACCATCAGAAAAGAAAATATTTTTTACTGAAGCTATATTTTTCTACAAGTATTACATATCCTTTTCTTATCACTGTTCACCCCCAGTTTCCCTTTCTATATTTTAAAATGGACCAGCTAGCTCTGCATTAAATCATAACGTGTCCGACATATTACAATCTAATAATAATAATCAAAGTTTAAGACATTGATCTGCTTACACATAACACATAAACATCACATGAAATGTCTGTACTGTGATACATAAGAAAGAGATGAAATGCAGCCAGGCAAGATACATTACAAAGACAATAACTGTGATCGTAGATTCTAGGACCACATAGACAAACCATATACAAATATTAGTACAGCAAAGCTCAAGGACATCCTTTACCTGTGTTTCTTTTAAGATGATGAGCTCACGCAGCTGGTGATCCTGCTTTACCAATCGTCTATCCATGTCCCTGAGCACTAGCATCTCCTCTTTAGGTTGACATGAAGCATTGCTGCTGCAGCTCGCAGCTCCTCTGGGTCCACTGCAGGCTGACACTGATGCTGCCGCTCCTTGATCCTCAGAGGAAACCGACGGTCCTAGGGCCCACAGGGATTTGGGTGTGGTGCCGTTAAGGCTAAGGCTACGCAGGAAGTCAGCCATGTAGCGCATATGCATCTGTGTGAACTCCTGCATGTGCTGAGCCAGGTTGTGGCGTTGCATCTGCAGAGGCAAACAATTCATCTCTGTGACATCGAGTCTGCAGCGCTGATGGGACTAATGGTTAACAAACCAAGTTCTCACTCATTGCTCTTTCGACAACGTGTAGGAGATTTGTAACACAACAAAATTTGCATTTGATCACCTACCCTTTCCTTGCATCCAAAGGCACTAAAGTTACACGCGATGGGTGCTTTTGGGCAATCTGTGTCACAATGAGAATCCATCTGAAACAAAAACATCATCAGCTTAGCTTCATTCAAATTAATATTTCAACAATAAATATGGACAAACATAACAGGGGAAATAACTCACTTCCTTTCTCATACATTAAAAAAAGACTTTTAAACATCATTTTCGACTGCAGTCCACATCAACTGTGACATGTATTGTGACTGGGTGGAATGGTTCTCCATTGTTTAAATAAAAGAGAAGTTCTTGTTGACAGAAGTTAACAATTCACAACTATAAAAACATTTTGATTTACTCGAGGCCTTTCGTCATGGCAGACATTGTATTACTCACCTGGTCTCTGATGAGATCCAAGTCACAGTACTGGCATTTCACACTGGCAAAAGGGCACTGCTGTTCGTGGAGCTGAATGAGTAACCGAAACCAGATTGTAAGGAGACTAATCCTCACTGATACACAATGCAGCTGTGAGATTTTCCTATGACAACTATTCTGGAAGAAGCAAGTGGAGCAATTACATAAGTGAGTCAACATACCGCTCTCTCCTCATAAACAAAGCTTGCCACACAATCTGGACACGACACAGGTCTCCTTTGGCACTCAACAGTTGTGTGCTCCTCTAGGTGGCTCGTTCTCACGGACTGTTGGCATTGTGGGCAAGGCTCAGTGGCAAACTGACAGTGTGCCAAATGGTTCTGGAAGGAAAACAATACATTGAAACAATACAGTTCATTTTATTCTGTAGCAGCACAGCTGTGGTTCACATATATAACAATTCCATCGTCCACACCGGAGGAAGATGCCAGTCTTTACTTGACACCCAGCACATTTTTTATATGCCAAAAACAAGGATGCACAGTGTGATAGCCCTCATTATCCCTCAGTGACTTCTGGAGATGTGTTGCATCTACAGGGATCCTTGACAAACAATCTCTTCAGGTCTATTGGAGTTATCAGCATTTCGCATGTGCATGTCTGTCCCTCATTACTGGCTGTTGATTAGGTGCTAACAGTGTGAGAATATGCTGGAACATTCAGAAGGAAGAGTCTGTGCTGAATATGATGGTGTCGACAGGAGAAGTGGTGAGCTGAGCTGCCGGTATCTTGCTTGTTGCCAGTTTTCTTTCCAAGTCATTTCATTGCGCCAGTTCTTTTTTTTTTTGTTGCTAAATTACAATCATATAACTATACTGAACGCTGAAATTAAAATATAATCCAAACATGAACAAGGACACTCTTTGGTTGATGGTCAATGGATCAACCACAAATGATCACAACATGTTACATAATCAATGATGGTCTTATCATGTAACCAAAGGTCATTTTACATTTTGGATCTTTAACTTTCCTCATTCTGTGTTCTCAGTTGAGGTGCATTCAGTGTCAGAGATTGAAGTCACTCTTCTTACCTCTAAATGTCGGAGCTCCATTTTCTCAGCACAGCCGGAGTTTGGACAGCGAACAGTTAGTGATAGAATCTCGCGTTTGGCAAAGTTATCAGGAAACAGCTGGTCTTCTGACAGCATTTCATTGTCCACAGGGCACCTCTGTCCTGTATCACTGTTTTGCAAGAGGAAACACAGCAGTCATTTGAGCTTAGTATTAAGATTATCAGGTTATGCATGGTGCTTTATATTTGAGCCGGAAAGCTAGTGTCAGTGAAAATATTGCATCAATTAGACACATACTGTACCTCGGCTACATTTATTTTTTATTACTACTTGGTAATTTGACAGATTGCTGTGTTACCAATAAAGAATTAACAGCTCTTCAAGAATGTGCCATGAAGATGGTGTTAACAAATGCATTTTAGACCTGGGTTAGTGTTATCTAGAGAGCTTCAAAATAGCCTACCGAATGGACTTCTCAATGCAGTTCTTGCAGAAACGGTGGCCGCAGGGTGTTTGAATGGCATTCCTCAACGCCATGAGGCAGATAGGGCACTCATATTTACTCTCTAAGGGTGGGTCAAACTCCACGTCATAGCCCTGGACGGGGGCAGCAGCTTGAAAACTAGTGTTGCTGCTGATGAAGGTGCCAGGGCTCTCTGAAGGGCTGAGAAGGGATTCCCGCTCCTTCTCCAGCATTGCCAACGCACAGCTGGACAGCCCTCCCCCAACAGCTCCTTCACCGCTGTCATCCTCCAAACTGCTCTTATTGCTGTCAAAGCAAGCCATCTGCTGTGGAGAAAAAAAAAAGAAGAAAATATTAATTATTTTATTTTTTATTTCCACTCAATACTTCAACAGTGCTGAAGAAAGCTCAGCAACGTCTACTCTGTTTAGGACAGCTGAGAACCTTTTCCATATCACGGCATGTTCTGATGTGACCTTATCGTGCTGGTATCGAGAGCACCCACATTCCTCAATGACTGTGTGGTATGGCCACACCTAAGCTCAAGGAAACAGCTAGACAAAGTGGTGCAAACTGCATCAAATCACAGGCAAGGAACAACCATCTCCTACTGACATACATAACATACCATGAATCTACAGAAAAAGGAACACACATAGAGAGGGAGAAAAATAATAACTATAAAGACAAATATTTGACCTAGGTTTGACAGCCAGGTTCCGTACCAGCACATATTCGGACACACCTTAACTCCTAAAACACCAGAGGTGTTACTATTCCCTACTGTAAGACACTGTAATGGTATATACACAGGAGGACATACTGTATGGAGCACATGGTGCTAAAAGCATCCCTATGGGGATTTAGGATGATTTAAATAGCTAGACAGATACTTATTGTCATTATTGAATAATCAGTCAATTAGTTTTTAAATGATGAAGTCAGTGATTTCTGACAATCGACTACTCAGTTTAGGTATCTAGAAGGATTTTTTGTTTGTTTCCGTTCTGATTTTTTTGTACATCAGCTTCACCTCGCGTTACATGGGAACTTCCATTTAAGTCACCGGTTGTGCTTCGTAATTGGCACAAGTAACTAAAGTGGTACCTTAGCTAACATTAAAACGCCGCCGTCGTCGTCGTCAACTTATTTAACAGCCGATAAGTTAGAGGCAACACAAGAAATAAAGTGGACAATGCTGTCACTTGATGCACTAGTCATGCCCCTGGATGCGGAACTGACACTTTACAACCTGACTGTGCTAAACAGCGATTCAAATAAAGATAGTGACCACAACAGCAGGCGGCAAACACACTCCTCACCAGCACAGTACTGACGACGTTTGAGAAAGAAGGTTTTCTATCCTTACAGTGTCCCCACCTGTGCCTTAAAAACGTCTCGAACTTTTCGTTTCTGCAGAATTTCCTGTTTTTTTTTTTTTTATTTTTTTGTCTCTTCTTCCCCTTTTTTGTTTCATGGCGGATTCATTCATTGACTTTGAACGTGCATACCGCCACCTACTGTATGGAAGTGTGTACACATGGAGTTTTACATTGCTAATAAATATGTAAATGTAAGATAGAAATTTGATTTAAAATAAATAAATAAAATAAAAAAACCCTCAGCCTGCTAAGCTGTGCTGACTTTACTATATGCTGTGATATAACTGTATGTAACAGTATTCCCTCCATGTTCATCTGCCTTCCTTTGTATAAGCCGTTCCCCTCTCTTCCCTATGTTTTACAATTCATTCAAGTATGTGCTCTACATTTTCAATTGTTTTGCAAAGTGAGCATTCTTCTGACCTATTTTTACCAATTAGAAAAAGACCTGTGTGATCAAACCTTAATCTAGTTAGAACTACTCTCCCTATTCTTTCTCCTAATACCCTGTGCATTTATTGATTTCTGTTATTTGTAATCATCCCCTTTCCATCTTTTTTGCCATTTTCTCATTATTCCCTTTTCAATTATTGTTTTTCCTTCCCCTTAACAGAAAGGGACATCTACAATATTTTCCTCAATTGTTGCATTTTTGGCTACTTTATCTGCTCCTTTTTTCCTTTTAATGCCAACATGTGGGCCCTAACATATTCTTATATCTTTACCTACTCTATGTAGTCTTAACAGGCTCTGATACATTTCTAATACTAAGTCTTCTCTTATTGAGTTTATGGATTTTATATGGAATAGCACCGCAGCAGAAGCCCTATAATTACTGCCAACGTTTCAGCATCATGTCAAACGGATAAATTGTTTGGTACTCTTTCTCCTATGTTAGTTTCCATTTTTGGTATGTGAATCCCTATGCCTACTTTGCCATGCTCTACAACCATTTGTGTAAATGTCCAGGAAACTACAGTATACTATATAAACTATACTTATATGTTGTTTTCTCCCATTCCTTTCTAAATTGCATTATTTTGAGCCACAGGGGAATAGCACCTTCAGGGGTTGTGGAGATACAAATGAATGTCTCTCAGTCCATATTCTTCTGCTTTGATTTTAGCTCTCCATCCCAAACCATCATCCTTAAATGTATACACCCAACATTTCTAAATGGTTTTAGATTAACTAAAACATAAATAAATGTAATTGTATGATATTTTGGAACAGAAATAAAAAAACATACAAAAGAACACTGACACTGACAACACTGAATTAATTCAGGTTCCTTACACTGAATCAAGTCGAGTCATAGTAGACGAAAAATTAACATGGAAATACCATATTCCGACAGTCTAAAGACTTCTATCTTCCATATTGTCGGTATGCCCTTATTCAATATTCACTGAAATACAGATCTCTTTGGAACAATCTATGTCCATCACTACAGTCAATATCTACCTTATATTTATTTAAGAAAACATCTCAACAGGTCTTTAGTTCGCAAAGATTCATAACACTTCTTGGATGTCACCTGGTAAAATAAAAATAACAATTTTTGCTTTTTGTTTTTATCTGTTATTCTCTTTTTAACGTATGATTATATTTACTAAGGGGAGGTATCTTTATAAGCCATTTAATTGGCTTCAAATCCCCCCTGCACATTGTTCTATTTCCTTTAAATTATATTGTTATATATACATTTATTATGTAGGTAAAAGAAACAAATAAAAGCATTGTTGTAGCATCAGTTTTGGCTCCCTGTGAACGGATCCAATATGCATATTGATTGTATCCTTTTCTCAGCTCTAAGTGCAGTCTCTCCTGACTGCCTGCACTGCGAGAGCGCCACCGTGTGGCCGGAGGCTCGTAACTGCTGCCACAGAGCAAATTGAGACAGAAAAATGGCGGACCTCAGGAAAATCTGTCCTGAGTCTTTGCCCTGTCGTGTCAACTATTCACGAAAACCGTCATTTCAGGGGAAGCTTTTCATCCTCCTGTGCATACTGATAGTGGACTCCGGAGGAGCTACGACCCACTGGGTTGTCACAGAGGATGGAAAAATCCAACAACAAGTATGACAGTGAACGTTACAGATCACTGACCCGCTAACGCTTACGTTAGGTGGCTAGCTTGTAACGCTATTTTTGTTAGCATTAACGCTAACGTATTTTTGGTATTGTGGTTTGTTCCCGTGAGTTTTCTGAGTTTATTTGAACACACCGAGACTCGTTTGGCAGCGTCGGTAACGTTGCATAGCACAGAGGAAGTAACGTTAACATTCGTTTTGTTTTGACTAAATCGGTTAGCTTTCACTAAGCTGCCTTAAAACTGACGTTATCGGTGACTAGGTGTCTGAGGTCAAGATGACCAAAGTATCTCAGGCCCATGTGAACGTCCGCGTTTGAAACCCTTTTGTGAACACGCCAGAGATAACGTTAATGTTGTTGGTGCCGACCGCCAGAAAACTGCCTCCTTCATTTAAAGAGAAAGACAGTGTTTATGTTGATGTGACAGGCTTTGGGGCTCTGGAAAGCTGAGTTTGCACAACTGAGATTACAGCCGGATGGACAGTTTCTAGCCTGAGTCAATAAACTTGAATATGCTGTTCACTGGCATTTCGCACTCACTGGGTATGTTTCTGTTTCAGGTTGACTCACCTTTGAATCTGAAGCATCCACATGACGTTGTGATCTTCATGAGGCAAGAGACTCGTGTTAACTACCTCAAGAAACTGGAGGTGTGTTTCTCTTTCTCATTCTGGTTAATCTCTCAACATACATTTTAATGTGTGCAGAAAAGAGGTACCTGCATCTCCATACATACTGTTGATACTTATTGTGACAACTGGCCATTTCTTGTGCTTACTAGTCTTCACTGATTGGTTGTCTTTGGTTATTGTTGAGCAGAAGCAGCTAGTGGCACAGAAGATTCACATTGAGGAGAATGAGGACAGAGATACAGGGCTGGAGCAGAGACACTACAAAGAGGATGCAGACTGTGTCATGGCTAAAGTACCCCTGGGAGACCTGGACCTGTATGACGGCACTTATATCTCCCTGGAAAGCAAAGACATCAGGTACGCTCTCCTCAATAAGACATGCCGTTGCTAGAAAAAGTGGTTAGGGCACCATTTAAATCTTGCGTAGAAAAATCATGGAGCTATGCTTTGTCAGAATTTATCATCCTTGAATGAGTGTGTCTTTTTTATGATTATGATGAAATGGTCATCTTAAAGTGATTTTCTTCTCTCCTCCCTGTAGCCCTGAAGACTATGTGGATTCCCGGTCAGCTATGCCCCCAGATCTAGAAAAGCCTGACTGTGCGAAAGTGTTTGAACTGCCTTATAGTGTCCATGCTTTCCAGCATCTCAGGGTGAGTAGAGGCCAAACTTGTCAATAGTTTGTTAAGAATAGAACAAGATCAGAATCAGAATCCGGTTTATTGCCAAGTAAGTTTTTATACGTAAAAGGAATTTGCTTTGGTGCATAAAAATCCCACAAAAATAAAGTACTGTTTGAAATATAAATAAATAAAGATGAAGATAGAAAGATCTAAAACTGTACAGGAAAGATATTTACAATGTGCAGGATAGAAAAACCAATGAGAGTAGTGCATTAATGTAATGCATATAATACAGAGTGGGTATAAGAGTCAGTGTCAGTGGGGGTTCTGGGCCTTGTTAATGAGGCCAGCTGCAGACGGAAAGAAACAGTTCTTGTGGCGTGAGGTTTTGGTCCTGATAGACCGCAGCCTCCTACCAGAGGGAAGTGTTTTAAAGATGGCGATGACTCGTGATAATGAGTATTATCACGTTCAGGTTGCTTTGCCCAATGAATCTGTTGTTAGAATCTGAATATACATAAACCTCTGATTGAGCGCGGGATACAGTCAAGGTATGATGTAACTATTATGGCTAGTAAGTACTTCCAACTCTCAAATGTATGTTAATTTGAAGCTTAACAGAGTAGTTATGGTTATTTCAACAATTTGTATTCATCAAATGCAACTATCCTGTTTGGAATGTATTTAATCTTTAGTTTGGTTGAGCTGACATACCTTTTTACAGAAGCAATTGTTCACAGTTTCACTGGAAAATGATTTAAATAATGTAAGAACATACACATACAGAAGAGCACGTTGTATAACCACAATATGGGCTCACAGGTAAAACAAGTCATAGGCAGATATGGGATCATTATCAAAATGGTTTTGAAGTGTGGAGAGTGTTTTGATTTGTTGGTGATTTTGCAGATTTCCTCATTAATCAGTGCACTAACAGCAAAAGCAGTCTTATCAAGATCAGTGTGGTACAGCTAGTCACTACAGCATCGACCAGAGTTCAAAAGCACCAAAGATGAGATATAAGCTGGCCATTTTCCAGAAAGACTTTGCAGATATATGAATACAGACAGGGAAACCTAGCCAATCTTAATGAATACAATGCAGTGGTGAGTATTGTAATTATCTCAGTAATGACCCTAAGAGCTTAATGGGAAATGCAATCTGAATGCCTTAGTGTGGAGGCAGCTGCATGTCGATAAATCACATCCCAATAATCCAGAACAAATAAGAACACTGCTCCAGCAATCCTACTCTTACAACTCTGAGGGAAGCTGGTTTTATTTCTGTAGCAAAAAGCTTTTTACAGTATCCAGATGGTGGATGTGTGATAATTAAACTTTGTTTTCTCAGGTCAGTTATCAAGATAATTTTATCAATACAAATTGTCCCTGTGGAGTAATGCAAATCACTGTAATCTGTGTCTCTGGATCTCAAGAACAACTATATGATTTTATCTTAAGGTTGCATTCAAGTCCAACAACAGTTTTATTGTGGAGGCCCTTGGATAAGGATTAAGGGGTAGTGGTGTGTTTTGTGGGCAAGTAACAATAAATAAACTTAATATTTTTTGACAGTCAAGAGTAGAATCCCAGATCACTTTGCCACATTTCATTCAGTCGTCCATTTATTGTCTTTAATTGGTTAACCAAGTTAAGAGTACAATAGGGGTTCACCAGCACATCATATTTATTTCTATATAGCTTTATATTTCTA